CACAATCTTATCGACATTGAACAAGTGTTCTTCTGCTTTTAGATTAGAAATGGGCTATGGCCTCATTACTCGAACATAGGTAGGCCCATTTTGCTAATTTTCTGTCGGCATCTACTTTTCCAATTGACATCATTGACAAATTATTTTTTGATAGAGAGAAAGAGTCCATGGCTGATGATAGGAGCGACCTTGAAGAAGTTTTCTTACACTCTACCACTGCGAAATCTTCAAGGAAACGAAGAAGAAGTTTCTCTTCTCGAGTTATGTATTTTCTCATCAGATTTTTGTTTTTTTGTTGTTGTTTCTTCTCTCAACCGTCTCCCATGGCTTCTTCTTCTTCTCGCAGTTTGATATACGATGTATTTCCCAGCTTCAGCGGTGAAGATGTCCGTGGATCATTCCTCAGCCACCTTCTCGAGAAGCTTCAACGCAAAGTAATCACTACATTCAGAGACAACGGCATCGAGAGAAGCCGTCGGATCGCACCTGAGCTTTTATCAGCGATTAGAGATTCGAGGATCTCGATCGTCGTCTTCTCTAAGAAGTATGCTTCTTCCACTTGGTGCTTGAATGAATTGGCAGAGATCCACAAATGAATCAAATGGTGATTCCGGTTTTCTACGAGCTTGATCCTTCTCATGTTAGAAAACAGACCGGCGACTTTGCAAGGCCTTTGAAACCACATGCGAAGGCAAAACAGAAGATGATATTAAAAGATGGAAGAAAGCTCTTGCAGAGGTAGCAAGTATAGCCGGAGAAGACTCTCGGAACTGGTATGTTGTTCTTTCCGTAAACTTGTTTCGTAGGTTTTGTCTCAGAATTGGGATTTCTTTGCATAGATTTCGAGATTGTGCTTTTAGGGATGTTCACATTTGATTATTGGATTTTAGGAGTGACGAAGCAAAGATGATTGAACAAATCTCCAGTGATGTGTCCAATAAACTTTTTACATCATCGGATGATTTTCGTGACTTCGTGGGGATTGAAGCTCATGTAGAGGCAATTATGGATTCAAAGTTGTGTTTGGAATCTGAGGAAGTGAGAATGGTTGGGATTTTGGGGCCTTCAGGGATTGGTAAAAGTACCATAGCTAGAGCTCTTTTCAATCGACTCTCTACCCAGTTCCACTATCGGACGTTTGTTACTTCTAAGAGAGCCATGCAGGACAAAAAGATTACCATCCAGGACGACTATAGCATGAAGCTGGGTTGGGCAAAACAACTTCTATCAGAAATTCTAGGTCAAAAGGACATAGAGATAGAAAGCTTAGCTATGGTGGAGCAAAGGCTAAAACAATGGAAAGTTCTTATTGTTCTTGACGATGTGGATGAAATAGAGCTGCTAAAGACTTTGGCGGGACAAACCGGATGGTTTGGATTTGGAAGCAGAATCATTGTGGTCACTCAAGATAGGCATATTCTCAAGTCACATGAGATTACACTTGTTCATGAGGTGGATTTCCCATCTGAACATTTGGCTCTTCAGATGTTTTGTCAATCTGCTTTTGGGGAAACCTCTCCACCTGATGGTTTTGTGGAGCTAGCTGCTGAAGTTGCAGAACTTGCCGGTAATCTTCCTTTAGGTCTCAACGCCTTGGGTTCATCTCTAAGAGGGAAGCTCAAGGAAGAGTGGGTGGACATGATGCCTAGGCTCCGAGACGGTTTGAACGGGAAAATTGAGAAGACATTAAGAGTCTGTTACGATGGATTGGTTGAAAAAGTTGATCAAGATATATTCCTCTTCATTGCGTGCTTATTCAATGGTCAGACTCTCAGTTACATTAAAAGAATGCTACCTGACAGTGTTTACCTTAGTGTCAGCACTAGCCTTACAACGCTAGCTGATAAGTCACTCGTACGTATAATCGAACCACACCATACTGTACAAATGCACATATTGCTGCAAAAGTTGGGTAGACAAATTGTCCGTGCAGAGTCGATCAATCCTGGAGAACGTCGATTTTTGATGGATGCAAAGGAGATATCTGATGTTTTTGAAGATAGTACTGTAAGTTTTTTATATATGCTTTTCACGCCAGATTTTATTTGTAGTTAATCAAGTCATTCAGTGTCTGATAAATTGTTGTGATTGCTGAGATAATGATTTTCTTGTTGAGATTTTCCTACAGGGAACAAATAACGTTCTAGGCATATATTGTGACACATCAGAAATAAACGAGCCATTATCTATGGATGAAAAATCCTTCAAACGAATGTGTAATCTCCAATTTCTAATATTTTACAAAGATCAAGGGGCGCAAAAGACCAGTGAAGTAAAATTTAATTTACCTCGAGGACTCATTTATTTGCCCCGCAAACTTAGATTGCTACATTGGGACGAATGTCCGTTGAAGTGTATGCCTTCTAAATTTAAGGCAGAGCATTTGGTTGAACTCAAAATGGAGAACAGTAAGCTTGAGAAGCTGTGGGAAGGAACTCCAGTAATTACTTATTTTAGAAGAAAAGCTTTTTCTTCATTTTGATGAATGAATATGAAAGAAAATATGAAGTTGGAAGAGATGAAAAATTATTTTAAAAGAAATTGAACAGTGTGTTATCTCATGTTTTTGTTTTCAGCAACTTCGAAGTCTCAAGAAGATGAGTATAGCCGGATCCAAAAATTTAAAAGAAATTCCAGATCTTTCAAATCTCGAGAAAATGGATCTTTTCAAATGTACATCGTAGGTGACACTTCCTTCCTCAATTCAGAATCTCAAGAACCTGGTAGATTTAAGTATGTCTGGATGCTCAAAGCTCGAGATTCTTCCAGCTGATGTCAACTTGGAATCTCTCAATACCCTCGATCTTGTAGGATGCTCACGCTTGAGAAGCTTTCCTAAGATTTCAAAGAACATTTCAGAGCTCGTTCTTGATGGAAATGCTATAGAAGAAGAAGCTTGTTTGTGGATAGAGAATATCTCTAGCGTCACTACTCTCATTTGGTACTTTTGTCCATTGAGATGTTTGCCTTCTAACTTTCGTCCATAATTCCTTGCTATATGAGAAATAGCAAGCTTGAAATGCTTTGGGAAGGAGTCCAGGTATATATCTCGGAAGTTCTTTGTTAATTTTTCTTCGTCTTAATTTTAGTTTGATGATATGCCTTGTAATCAAACGAAAAAAAAAAAATGGTACACAGGTAACCAAATCGTGGTTCGCTAAACATACATGTTTCATTAAGGATATAATTGTTGCAGGATACTTCTAAACTAAGCTGCATGGAATCGGAAACGGGTATGCAGAGGCGGAACGTAGGAAACGCGGAAATATATATTTAAAAAGAGAGATTGGATATGTATAAAATATTTCAAAAGTTGCA